AATTTAAAGCCGAACTGAAAACATACTATTTGAACCTGACTTTTGGCTCTAATTTGGTCGCCTCCAGCAAACTTTAACATCAGGATCAAGTTGCGTCAGAGACAGACAACCAAGCACACTCACATTCACAGCCATAGACAATTTAGAATCACCAATTAACCTCAACATGTTTTTGGACTGTGTGGGAGGAAGGTGGACAACCCGGAGAGAACCCACGCTGCACGGGGAGAACACGGAGACTCCACGTAGAAAGATCCTGGGTGTCCTCACCGAGACGCAAACCATGTTAACCACTGCGCCACCTTGCAGCACGACTTTGAATCACTGTTTGATATTTTTAAAAATCTTTTTCTGACATTTTATGAAGCAAACTATCAATTAATCAAATCCATGTGCAGTAAAGGTAATCCTGAGCTGCAGTCCTTTTCTTTATGTTTTCTGGGTAAACTCCCTTCAGGCGGCTTTAGGTTTAAGTCGATCGGCCTCCTTCTGCTGACGGTTTCAGACTGAAACTCAGCGATGAGAGAAGACCTCCCAAACCACAAACCACACGACAAGTTTCCATTGAACAGCGGCCGAGCAGCATATTAGTGACGAGAACCACCTTTGGTCCAACAAAGGCTCAGAGCGACACGAGGTGACCTTTAAAGACTCGTCTAGCTATAAACGGAAGCTCTGCNTGCTTTGGTCATAAAATGGTTTCGTCCTCAACACAAAGATATTCAGTTTACTGTCATAGAGGAGGAAAGAAACCAGAAAATATTCACTTTTAAAAAGCTGCAATCACAGAATTATTTTCATAAAAAATGGTCAGATCAATGGTAATTGATTAAATAGTTAATGTTGTTGGTGCCCCATGTAAGGTCCTGAGAAAGGTATGTTCCCAGGAACTTGAAGTCACTGACCCTCTCTACGGTGTAGTGGATGGTGGTGGTGGTGGTGGGGTGCCCTCCCTCTTCCGTCTGAAGTCCAGCACTAAGTCCTTAGTCTTTGAAGAGTTGTGCCAGATTATTGTGGGAACACCATGTAGTGAGGTTCAGGACCTCTTCTCTGTAGGCCGTCTCATCATGACTTTGACCTATTTACATGTTTAGTGGCTGCTGATCATTTCTCTAGAAGATTCTCCACTCTGCTAAAATACAACAACCTCCAACTGAACATCAACAACAACCGATTCGACAGAAATTCATCCTGATTCTCAAATTTGCTGGAGGCGACCCAATCAGAGCTAAAAATCAGGTTTAATTCAAACGTTTATACATTTCAACTGAAACCAGCCAATCACAGAGCTTAAAACTCAATCATGTGAGCTACTTATAGCAAAGGAGACCTGAGGTGTTAGAAAGCTCATAAACTTGAGCAACTGCAAGCTGCAATCACACCTGCAGTCTCTCCAAGAATTGTGTTTGTAGTTATTATTTGGGTAGTGGTGGTTCAGCAACTACCAAGGCTGTGGGCTACTGATCAGACGGTTAAATTAAAATATAAAAACTTAAAGTGGGACAAAGACTGAAGAAAAACATTGACTAAATCCATTTAACATTCCTGTTACAACGATGTCGGTATGTATGTGTTTGTACTTTTAGCTTAATAAGTGATTTTGTGTTTGTTTCAAAACTAAGATGATTTTGCTTTTTATGTAGTTTTTGTTTAATTTAAAAATTTTTCTTTATAGTTTCTCTAATTTAACTTTGGGTGCCAACTGGCAGGTAGTGCTAACTAGTGGGTGGTCCTAACTAGCAGGTGGTCCTAACTATCAGGTGGTGCTAACTAGCAGGTGGTGGTAACTATCGCTGACTTAGCTGCACTTAGTTCTTTCTCAAATGAACAGATACAAATTAATATTATTTTAAAACAAATAAAGTTAGAACTTAAGTAGCTGTAAATTTCTGCAGATTGAGAGAAAGTTAATAAACTCACTATTTGACACCAGAGAACCAACGCTTTATATCAACACCACGAGGATGCAGCAGACTTAGTTTCATCATCAGATGTTTGACTTGAAGCAGACTGAGGCCTTTAGAGTCTCTGAAGTTACACGTTGTGTGTTATTATTTCATTTTTAGTTCTACAAGCGACGTCCACAGAGTCAACAGCAGCAGCAGAGACGTCCACAGAGTCGACAGCAACCAGTCAGACTGCAGGTAATCCAGCACCAACACAACTCTGAGCAACTCTAATAATGTGCTTTTAAAATTAGGTTGTAATTTGTTGTAATATCTGCTTCATGTAGTATAGTAAAGATACTGAATGCAAATGAGGAATTTAAAGTTAAAATGAGTAAAAACAAAACTGTCTTTGTCAAAACTATCATTCAGCCATATTTGTAGTTGCATTTCTTTTTATTTTTAGTGAAACGTTATTAGTCATCACACATTCAGAGCGACGCTTCCAAGTTTTCATCCAAC